CATTTTCTCCTTCCCTGCATGCACAGAGAGCCAGGATCAGACCTGGAGCAGGGAGCAGGGATCCATCCCTGCCCCCAGAGCTCGGGGTTTAGGGAACAACAGCTCAGCAGGTGCTGATCCCCCTTTTCTGGGATGATCCCAGCCCTGGGACAGAGGAACCCAAGGGACTCCGTGGGACAAAGCCCCCCCAAACCCCTCTGCCAACGCCCCACACCCCAAAAAATCCCCACTCAGCCTCATCCCAAGGCAGGGCTCTGCCAAAAATCTGCCTCCAGTGCTTTGAAGCTCCCCAAATTCTCTGTATCCAGCGGGGAGCTGGTGCCCAGACCACCCGTGGCTTAACAAAACACCTCCCTTTGCTTCCCAAACTTCCAGCCCTTTGTATCTCATCTGCTCCAAGGAATTCAGGGCATTTAACTCCAGACTGGCTTCACTTATTTGAACCTTCCCAGGGGAAGAGCAGCCCCCTGGCAGGAGCTTTTCCAGGGAAAAAGGCACATCTGGGAATGCTGTTGGCTCCTGTGAGACCAGGCACCAATCCCAAATTTGTGGGATGAGCACTGGGATGGGAATTGTCATCCCAGCCAGCTCTGCATTCCATCACAGGGACAGGGATGGCCTGGGAAATAAAAACTCCGTGGGTTTTTGTGCAGGGAGAGTGCAGGAAATCCATCCCAGCCAGACTTGCAGGGATTTTTTTGCCTGCAAGCAGCCAAGTTATTCCCTGGATCAGCCAGGCCCTGATCCAGCTTTGTTTGGGATGGGATTGGAGAAGCAGCAGTGCCCTGTCCCTGCCAGGAGCACAGGGAAGGTGCCCCAGGATCCTGGAGTGCCAATGCCACGTGAGCTTCCCAAGATCCAAGCAGAAAAATGCAGGGAAAATCCTGGTTTTGGCATTCCCCAGGCTCCATTTTCCAGCTTTAACAGCAACCTTTGATCAAATATTTCAAATTAGACCCAAAAGCGATTGTAAAATAACCCCGAGGCTGCGGGATGGGGCGCTGGGAGCTGCACCCACAGGGAGATATTCCCACTGGAACAGCATCCCTGGAGCACATCCCAGCTGGAAAACAGCTCAGCCAGAGCAAAACCACGACTGGCAGCCAGAGGAATCAGCCAAGGGTGTGCAGGGAACATCCATCCCACCTGCTGGAAACACAGAGCTGTGATTCCTGCTGGAGAGGAAATCATCCAGACAGGGATTGCCAGAGAAATCCAGCTGGTTCCAAGATAATTCCGCACCAGATTCCCTTTTCCTGCTCCAATCAGCCAGCCAAGGTCTGTCTGCACACTCCCAAACCTTTCTCCTGTTAAAAGCAAATTCCTTGGCACAAGGTTTTGGGGTTTTTTTCCAGCAGTTTTCTGTTTCCTCTGCAGCACAACCCGAGGAAATTCATTTTATGGCAAATTTCTCCTTGACAGAAAAAAAAAAAAATCCTCAGGAAGCAGCTCCGTAAGAAAATGGATTTGGCTTTTGTGTGCTCGCCTCCAGCTCGGGGATGAGCTCCTGCAGACAGCAAACAGCTCCTGAGGGGTTTGGGAGGGGCAGATTCAGAATTTGGGAGGGGCAGATTCAGGATTTGGAGATGCAGATTAAGGATTTGGAGATGCAGATTTAGGATTTGGGAGGGGCAGATTCAGGATTTGGAGGTGCAGATTCAGGATTTGGAGGTGCAGATTTGGGAGGGGCAGATTCAGGATTTGGGAGGTGCAGATTTGGGAGGTGCAGATTCAGGATTTGGGAGGTGCAGATTTGGAGGTGCAGATTTGGGAGATGCAGATTCAGGATTTGGGAGGCTCCTGTATCCCAAGCATCCCTCAGGATCACTCTGCTCCCAGAGCGTGGGATGAGGATCAGCTCAGCCCCCATGGAAAACACCCCAAAAGGGGCACTGCCACCATCCCAGGCTGCTCCAAACCCCAGCCAAGCTTCCTTTGGACACTTCCACAGCTTCTCTGGGAATTCCATCCCAAATCCTCACAGGGATCGATTCCTTCCCAATATCCTCTGGCAGTAGGGAGTCATTCCTGTTCCTGTTCCCATTTCCATCCCCATCCCCGTCCCCATCCCCATCCCAAATTCTGAATCTGANACCCGTGAGAATCCCAGCCAGGCCAGGGGCTCCGATCCAGCTCCCGGAGGAGCCCGGAGGAGCCCGGAGGAGCCAGGAGGAGCCCGGAGGAGCCAGGAGGAGCCAGGAGGAGCCAGGAGGAGCCAGGAGGAGCCTGGCCGCAGGAACAGAGCCTGCACACCCGGTGGCAGCAAAGAAACGCGCAGGAGAACGGGATGGGCCGGGAGATGGGCAGGATGGGGAATCCCGGGATCCAGAATGGTCTGGGATGGGCAGGATGGGGAATCCCGGGATCCTGGATGGTCTGGGATGGGCAGGATGGGGAATCCTGGGATCCAGGATGGGCTGGGATGGGCAGGATGGAGAATCCCGGGATCCAGGATGGGCTGGGAATGGGGCAGGATGGAGAATCCCGGGATCCTGGATGGGCTGGGAATGGGCAGGATGGAGAATCCCGGGATCCTGGATGGGCTGGGAATGGGCAGGATGGAGAATCCCGGGATCCTGGATGGGCCGGGAATGGGCAGGATGGAGAATCCCGGGATCCTGCAGCACACAGCAAAGGCAGGACCGTCCCAGGAATTCTCCATGTCCTGTCTGCAGCTGACTGAATTTGCATTGGGATTTTCCTGCTCCAGATGCCACCTTTCATCTCCCATGATTAATGCCCTTGGAAATCCAGAGAAAGCACCAGCTGCTGCTGCCTCCTCAGCTTCCCCAGAGCAGCTGAGGGGGGAAAATCTCCTTTTGTTCCCGCACCTCCAGAGCCTCCCCTGCCTTTGTGAGGAGCCTTTTATTTCCAAAGGGCAGGGAAACACAGTGGGTAAAGCTGGAGGATCCTGATTTCCTCACCGGGATCTGCGGCAATCCAAGAGTCTGGGGCAGCCAGGGATGTGACAGGGAATTGGGAATGGAAGGTTTGGGATGGGTGTTTGTGGGGCACAGCTTGTGCCTGGCCAGAGGAGGGGCTGGACAACCTGGAGAGGTCCAAAACCAGCCTGGAGGGATCCTAAACCGGCCTGGAGGGATCCAAAACCAGCCTGGAGGGATCCTAAACCAGCCTGGAGGGATCCTAAACCAGCCTGGAGAGGTCCAAAACCAGCCTGGAGGGATCCTAAACCAGCCTGGAGGGATCCTAAACCAGCCTGGAGGGATCCTAAACCGGCCTGGAGGGATCCTAAACCAGCCTGGAGGGATCCTAAACCGGCCTGGAGGGATCCTAAACCAGTCCTGGGACCCCACAGATCCTTCGGCAGGAATCATGGAATGGTTTGGGTTGGGATCTTGAAGATCACCCCTGCCATGGGTTGATGGAGATGAGGAACTCATCCTTCCGCTATCCCAGGCTGCTCCAACCTGGCCTGGGACACCTCAGGGATCCAGGGGGACCCAGGGGAATCCAGGGGGATCCCCACCCTCACAGGGAGGAATTTCTCCCTAAAATCCAACCTGATCCCGTTCTCCTTAGGAACAAAGTGTCCGGGCCATGGCAGCAGGTGCGAATTCCAAGGAAAAGCGGGGAGAGCCCGGGCAGGGAGGTGCGGTTTGCCCGGCGGCCACCGAGAGGTGCCAGCGCCTCTCCCAAAGCCTCGGCAGCTGCTCCAGCTCCGCTCCGAAATTATCCCTCGCTCCCGTTTCTCCCAGCTCCAGCTCTGGATGGTCTGGGATGGGCAGGATGGGGAATCCCGGGATCCTGGATGGGCTGGGATGGGCAGGATGGAGAATCCTGGGATCCAGGATGGGCTGGGATGGGCAGGATGGAGAATCCCGGGATCCAGGATGGTCTGGGATGGGCAGGATGGAGAATCCCGGGATCCAGGATGGGCTGGGATGGGCAGGATGGAGAATCCCGGGATACAGGATGGGCTGGGAATGGGCAGGATGGGGAATCCCGGGATCCAGGATGGGCTGGGATGGGCGCTGTCCCCCAAGCTCTGCTGGGAGGAGCAGGAAACATCCCGAAATCCCAGGGTTTGGAGGAGCTGGATGTTCCCCCCGAGAGGCACAGAAGGGTTTTCCTGGGAGCACTGCCAGGAGCAGCAGGAATGCCAGGACTCAGGGATTCAGGGACTCATGGATTCAGGGATTCAGGGATTCAGGGATTCAGGGATCCAGGGATTCAGGGATTCAGGGACTCAGGGATTCAAGGATGCCAAGAGGAGCGAGATCCTTCCCTGCCACCAATTCCAGAATCCCGCGGCCCTGCCTGGCAGGAATGGGAGACAAAGGCACCAGATGTTCCCCAGCAGCTGCTCCCACCTGTTGGGAACGCTGCTTTTAGGGAAAATCCCAGCATTTCCATGGATCCATGGGGAGCAGAGCCAGGGCTGCTCCCAGCTCCGGTGGGACAGGAGGAGGAGGAGGAGGAGGAGGAGATGAAGGAATCCTGCAGGGAGCCACGGAGACAGCGGGCAGGGCACTGGGAAGAGCAGGGTGGAGACTCCACCATTCCTGCTGCCAGCTCCAGGGAAAGGGACTCACCTGGCTGGGATTCCACCCATCCCCAGCCCATTCCCACATCCCCACCTTCCAGCCTTGTCCCTTTTCCCTGCCCTCAGCAGAGCAGCCGAGCATCCTCAGGGATGTTTAACCAGGAGAAGGGAGCAGGATAAACTCCCCAAAATCCCCGTGGGCACCCCCTGAGAGGTGCAGCCCCCACGGGGACACTCAGCTGCCTCCTCCCCAGCTCCAGTGATCCCAGAGAGGGGAAGAAACACCAGGGAAACAACAGCAGGAACCTTTTCTCCCGTCTGGCGAGCGCAGAGTGAGGAAAACGCAGCAGCGCCGGGAATTTCTTCCGCTCCCTTTGCCACCCTTGTGCTTCCAGGGGAATTTCAGGGACCCACGGATCCCCAGCCCTCCTGGCACGGGACAAGGTGGGACAGCCAAGCTCCGAAAGGAAACACAAAAAGCAGGGTGGGGTCTTACCTGGCGCTTTGGAATGTGGCGGATGCGGATTTTCCAACGGCCCCGAATCCAACTCCCACCGCCAGGCCCTCTGGAACAGCAGGAAAAACCAGTCAGGGGCAGCCCCAGCCCAGCCCAGCAGGATCCAGCTCCTCTGAATCCAGGAGAATCCAAGCCAGCACTGCCCAAAGCGGCTGCTCCCAGGGCAGCCAGCACAGAGAGAAGGTTCTGGATTGAGGAGAGCCAAGAAAGGGGAAAAGATCCCAATCCCCACCAGCTGGAATGGGATTTTTCCAAGGAGCCAAGCACCAAAGCTGGTCCAAAACCTCAGCAAACCCCGGTGGATTCCTGAAGAATCCCAAATCCCAGCGTCTCCCATGGATCCCCCAGGAGCTAAACCAGGATCAGGCTCCCAGCTTCTCTTTCTGTGCCCCAAAACCGGCTCAAAACCAGCACAGCCGGGCTCCAAAGCACCAGGAAACCCAAATTCCACCAGAAAATTCCTGCAGATTGTCTGGTGCAGCAAATCCCATCATTTTAAATACAGCTAACCCCAGAAACCCCAAGAACAACAGCTGAAAAGCCTTCCCAGGAAAAAAAAAAAATAAAATTGATTTTCAGAAAGCATCAAACCCTCAATTCTCTTCCCCCCCCCCCTTTTTTTTTAATTTAAAATTTAAATTTTTTTAAATTCCCCCTTTTTCTAAATTTTTAAAATTAATTTTAATATTTAAAATTAATATTTAAAATTTGAAAATCCTCATTTTTGGGTTGGTTTTGGGGTTTTTTTGGTGTTGTTTTTTTGGTTTTTTTTTTGCAGCCTTCCAGCAAAGGTTGGGGGGAACGTTCAGAACCAAAAGGGGAGGGATTTTACAGGTGAGAATTCCAACAGGTGGGAAAAGTCCCTGGAGCTTTTCCAAGCATCCCAGAGGAGGAGCTCTCAGGGCACCGTGTGTGTGTGTTTGTGGCCCTGTGAGATCCCAGTTGCCTTGGAAACAGGAGGAAAAACCGGGATAAATCACAACATTCCCATTCCCTGAGCCCAGAACTGGAACACTCAGAGCCTAAATCACAACATTCCCATTCCCTGAGCCCAGAACTGGAACACTCAGAGCCTGGAGCCAAGGACAGGGGGAAAAATCAGAGCAGAACCAGCCCTGAAACGGAGCTGGAGGGAAAAGAGCCCAAATGGGATCCAAAATCCTGGCCTGGGAGCCAAAATCCCAGCCTGGGGATTCAAAATCCTGGCCTGTGATGCAAAATTTTTAGGGATTTTAGATTTTCAGGGTGATTTTGAGTGGCTTGGGGTGATTTTTGGGTGATTTTGGGGTTTTGGGGGGTGCCAAAGCCGATATTGGGGCGATTTCAGGTGATTTTTAGGCTGATTTGGGGGGTTTTGGGGGTGAATTTCTTTCTCCTCCCCTGCTGCGGAGCGGGAATCCCACGGTTCATGGGAGCAGAGATCCCAAATCCTGGGAATGAGGAAGCAGATGGTGCGTGGGGAAGGGAGAAGCTGAGGAGGAGGAGGAGGAGGAGGGGAGGACACGGAAGCCTCGGGGTGTGGCCCCACATCCCAGGACAGGACACGGATCCCAAATCAGCCAGGTGTGGGTGGTCCAGGCACAGCAGGCACATCCCAGCACCTGGAAATCCTCCGATCCTATGGATCCTGTGGGATGGAGCAGGGATCAGGGGATGGAGCAGGGATCCAGGGATGGAGCAGGAATTGCGGGATGGAGCAGGGATCCTGGGATGGAGCAGGGATCAGGGGATGGAGCAGGGGATGGAGCAGGGATCCTGGGATGGAGCAGGGATCCTGGGATGGAGCAGGGATCCTGGGATGGAGCAGGGATCCTGGGATGGAGCAGGGATTGTGGGATGGAGCAGGGATCCTGGGATGGAGCAGGGATCCAGGGATGGAGCAGGGATCCTGGGATGGAGCAGGAATTGCGGGATGGAGCAGGGATCAGGGGATGGAGCAGCAGTACTATGGGTACCAGCACGGCCACACAGAGCTCATCCCAAAAAAACTCATCCCTGTGATTAAACAAAGCACCAACACTTCCCAAATCCTGCTCAGCGATGCCAGATCCCGCAGGATCCGCACATCCCACAGCACTGGGACCCCGGGGCTGAGCTGGGAGCTCCGCTGTCCCCTCCCAGACGGATCCTGGAGCTGATTCTCCTGGCTCAGCACATGGAGAGGCTTCCTCCAGGAAGGTTCTCCAGCTGCCAAGGTCTCATCCATTATTCATCCCGCTCTTGGAAGAGCTGTTAAGTTCCTAGTGGGAAATTAATCTTGCCATAATGAGGTTTGGATTTCTCGGAGAGTTTAAGCACTGCCACTCAGAGATTTTTCCCTGCAGACTGAAGCTCAGCTCCCTCCAGGAATCATCGTTTTGCCATTATTGCTCAAGGATTAGCAGATTCCAGGGATTTTCCAGTTTGTAGGTCCCCACCACTTGAGGGTTTGCGGGCTTTCAGGTGGAATTTGGGAGGCAGGAGGAAATCCTGCTAATTCCAAATCCTGCTTTGACCCCCGCAGGAGCCAGCCCATCCTCATCCCACCCTTTGCTCTCTTCTCCTCCTCCCACAAAAGCAAATCCTCATTTCAATCCTCAGTTCAGCTCCACGGAGCTGCTCAACAGGAGCTGACAACTCAACCTCCACCTGATTTGAAAGAATTCCAGCTGGTTTGGAAGAATTAAATCAGCTGTCCAACATCCCCAAACCCCTCCAGCCTGGAAACATCTCTGGGAGCGGAAAACTCCTTCCCAAGTTACCAAAGCAGAACTGAGCTAAAAGCAGGGAGTGGAATTGGGCTGGAACTGGGCTCTCCTGACCCCACAGCACCTGAATCCATCAGAGATATTTAAAGTTTCATTCCCAGCACGTAAACGCTTTCTCAGGCCACTGCTCAGTGAGGTTTAATGTGACAGAGCTGAGATCTGATGGGGACAAGGCAGGGAAGCAGCTCCCACATGAATATTTCAGTGGAATATTTCATTCCAGCTGGTGAAAATCCTGGATTTAATTGGCTTTTGTCACCTTTGTGGCTGTTGCTGCTGACAAAACACCGATGTGTTAGCTGCCTCCAAATGAGTCTGTGACAGATGAGCTGGTGGCAGGGGGACATCAGGGTCCCCTCCAGACAGTGTGAGCCTGGGAGGAGAACTTCCCAGCCTGGAAAACAGGGAATTGCCTCCAGCTGCCTGCAAGGAGCAGGGGGAGCACTGAGGGAGCTGAGCCGGAGACAACAGAGCCAAAAACAGCCCGAGAGCAGCAGCCACAGCTGGGGTGTCACCTGAGCCCTGGGGATGTCACCTGAGGCCTGGGGATGTCACCTGTGTCCTTCCCTGAGAGCATCACCCACTGCTAGAGATGTCACCTGAGCCCTGGGGATGTCACCTGAGCCCTGGGGATGTCACCTGAGCCCTGGGGATGTCACCTGTGTCCTTCCCTGAGAGCAGCACCCACAGCTGGGGATATCACCTCAGTCCAGGGAATGTCAAGGAGGTGACAATTAAGGATTAATTAAGGAAAGGTCAAGGGCACCTTTCCCAGAGCAGCCAGGCTCGGGCTGATCCCGGTGAGGCGATCCCTGATCCCGGTGCTGCCGGAACGTTCCGGATGGAGCCGAGTTCCCGGCTCTGTCCCCATCCCCTCCCACCTCTCTCCTCCCCCCGGCTGCCCAGCACATCCCAGCTCCATGGCCAGCAGTCCCTGCTCATCCCTGCTCATCCCTGCTCATCCCTGCTCCCTCTGGAATTATCCCGGAGCTGCCTCGGGAGCCAACCCCAGCTGATTTCTCTCCAGAGCAGAAACGCTGTGAAGAATTCCTGGCTGTTCCAAGGTGCACCTTCCCATCCCTCTGAGCAAGCCTCAGGGCCAGCACTCCTGAAATTCCCTGAAATTCCCTGAAATTCCCTGGAATTGCTGCCCCATGTGCTCCCCACCGCTCCAATTCCCTGAAATTCCCTGAAATTCCCTGGAATTCCATGGAATTGCTGCCCTGTGTGCTCCCCACCGCTCCAATTCCCTGAAATTCCCTGAAATTCCCTGAAATTCCCTGGAATTCCATGGAATTGCTGCCCTGTGTGCTCCCCATCGCTCCAATTCCCTGAAATTCCCTGAAATTCCCTGGAATTCCATGGAATTGCTGCCCCATGTGCTCCCCACCGCTCCAATTCCCTGAAATTCCCTGGAATTCCCTGGAATTCCATGGAATTGCTGCCCTGTGTGCTCCCCACCGCTCCAATTCCCTGAAATTCCCTGAAATTCCCTGGAATTCCATGGAATTCCATGGAATTGCTGCCCTGTGTGCTCCCCACTGCTCCAATTCCCTGAAATTCCCTTAAATTCCCTGAAATTCCCTGAAATTCCCTGGAATTCCCTGAAATTCCCTGAAATTGCTGCCCCGTGTGCTCCCTGCACCCACCAACCTTCCCGTACCTGCATCCTCCTCGGAATGCAATGCTGTGCTGCCTTTTCCTCCTTTTCCTTCCCAAAAACAACCCCTCCCAGCAGGAATGGAGGGTGCTCCAAGCGCCCAGGAAGAGCCAGGAGCAGGCAGGGCAGGGGGAATGTTGGAATTCCTGGAAGAGGCATCACCCAGACGAGGCACAGATTAATGGGTGCAGCTCCGGTCCTCATGCTCTGCTGAGCCCCAGTGAGGCTCCCAAATCCTCATTAAAACCAACAATTGGAAAACAGCCTCCATTCCAACAGCCCCACGGAAAATAAAAACCCAAAAAAAAAGCCAGAATGTTCCCAGCCTTTTAATGGATCTGGGAGAATATTCATATAAATAATCAGCGCTGTTGATAATTGAGATGCAATCTGGCGCTCATTGCCCTTCCCCCGGGAGCGCCTGTCCCGGGAGGATCAATCCAATCAATTTTTGCTAATGACAAAAGCAGCCAGCCTGGAAATCACCTCCCTTCCCAGGAACTCCAATCTGCCGGCACAGCACGGAACCTCTGCTGCCTGCACAGCCCCCAGCCCTTCCCACCCTCAAATCCACCTCCGTCCCTGGAGCAGCTCTCGGCACCAGGACTGAGCTCTGCCCGAGCCCCGGCGGGATGCTGGGAG